CCCCCCCCCCCCCCCCAAAAAAAGAAACAGGTAAAGATGATGGATGGATGACAGATGGATGGATTGAAATATGTTGTGGTAATAGATGAAATTCATTCAAAACACATAGTTCAAGTACTGACAAATCATGCAAGATTTGGAAAAATATTGCATAAATATTGCATTTCGGGGAGTGGTGGCGCAGAGGTTAGAGAGGTGGGCCTGCGATCGGAAGATCGCCGGTTCACGCCCCGGTACCGACAATATCAAAAATGTGGGAGAGGTAGGTGAAGCACCCACACTTGCCCCTACCCTCATTCGCCCCACTCTGGGCCCATGAGCAAGGCCCTTAACCGCCATCATCTGCTCCCTAAACAGGTCTCTCTTGAAAATGAGTTCTCATGGCTAAATGAGATTACCTGGATAAAAAAAGGCTAAATGAAAAAAAAAAATAATGATAAGACTGTGCATGAGGTCATTTTTAAACTTCTACATAAATGGCTCTAACATGAGATGATCTTAGACAAAAACTTTGCCATAAATGATGGTTAGGAGATATGCTTTCCATCAATGAATGCTTGGCTGTTGACTAATTTAAGAGTTAGGCATTGCCCTAAAGAAACATCAGCCTTGCTACTGTTTACTAATGGAAGCAGAAAATCCAACCAAAAAAAAAAAAATGCTGTCAGAATCTCACAACTAAGAGTTGATAAAATAGGGATGGATTGTTAATATTTGCGTATCAGTTTCCACACAGCAATACTAAAATAGGTGAAATAATATGTTTTTCTAAGCTTTAGGACTGATTTCTTTGTGCAGCTATAAGAACGTGACAGTTATTTAAGTAGAGGGATGATTTACTTTTACTGGCCCAGAAACATGTAATGAGCCAAAAATGGTGGAAGATAAAACAACTTACCTTGGAAGAGTGCGTTTCTGTCATGAAGCTGTTGCAAATGTTTGCTCGGCACTTTGTCAACATCTATCTGAACTCTAAGGTCATTTAACATACAAGAGCAGCAGAAGTTAATGAAACAACAGTGAAACACTGGAGCACATGTATCTATCTTTCACATTTATTTACTGTATATAATTATCTTTTTATTTGTCTTTGTTTTTTTTTCTATAATTGTCACATAGGGATGATTCACAAATGCATGCCCTGACTTTTAACCTTCCCAAGTAAATCTTTAACCCCTTAAGTTCAGTCTGAATCAAAGCTGTTTGAGAATGCTTGGCTTCTGCAGCTCCACAAATACCTTAAACATGCTCACACAGATTCCACTTTATAAAGATACCTTTTCTACGTGTGCAGTCTGGACTAAAGTCTTTCCAACTTTCGCCACACAGAGTGCATATTTGGCTTCTCTGCCTGTTAGTGTTAGGGCCTAAATGGTTTTTAAAGAGGAGCTTTAGCAAAGAGGCTTTTTTTATAAGAAGCTAAAGAAAAGTACGGACAATTTACCTTAAGTAGAAGTTTGATTTTGTTTAAACTGATTTGTTAGAACTTTTGGGGGAAAGACCACTTCTCAGGTTGTCAGGATGTATACTCTTTCATATACATATATGTTCTTATTTGTTTTCTGTATATAAATAAAAAAAATAGCTTTATGTCTTTGGAAATTTATTAAAATGTTTATGTTGGATATAGTGAAAATAGCAGACATCTATTTTATATTTTAAATTTGCAAATAAGAGTGCTTGACCATATCTGTACAAGACATATATAACATTTCAAAAGGCCCCAAACATTATGTTTTGCATCATTCTGCACACAATGAAAAAATAAATAAATAAAGTGCAGTCATACAATTTAGAATTATTGTTTCCAAATTTGGAGCTGATAAAAATACGATAAAGGTTCTTGTGATTAAGCTTTCTCCTCGTAGACGTCGTTCTGGGAACAAGTCCACCTTAGATTTTTGTAGCTAAGCTCTTGGCTGTTTTGCTCAAGACACAGACTTGAGGCCAGAACACATGCTGCTCTGTGCACCCAGCATGATTCATATGTGCCTTCATAACAGGCCAGTTAATCACTAATCCTTTTTAATTAGACCCTTAATGTGAGGTTATTAACTAAAAAACCCTGCTGTCCCCTCAGCCCATAACACATTGTCATGTACAGCATTGGTAAATAACAAAAAAACTAACATGTTTTTGTGCAGCACTGATTGAACCAAACTCTGTGTTGGGAAGCATATAGACACATTTCTGAGCATTATTTCTCCTGTCTTTTTTAAAAAAAATTTTTTTTTTTTATAGTTCTTTTTACAATTTTAATTATTTCAAATACTTTAATGTCTCAAACTCATGTTGTTACGTAGAATGACCACTAGAGGGCAATATTGAGACGTGGTTGTCTGCAGTGACCGCATCATTTCAACTTTCTTATTCTGACCTATCACTTTATTTTCATTTGCAAATAGGAAAAAAAAAAGATACATTTTATTAAGTTGTTGTTATTATTAAATCCCCACATTTACATTTTTTTTGATGTATTAAATATAAAAAGCAATGCTGAACGAAATTTAACAATTGGATTTCTGTGTTTAAGATCCCATGGCAACACATGTATCTATTCATGCTTGCATGTATGTAAGAAAGTGCAGTCATTATGTTAGATCCAGTGCCTAAATCTGTGTACAGATTCATATTTTAGGGTATTTTTGCAAATCAATATGAAGTTGCAATACTTCAAATCTGAGGTCAGAGAATGTGTTGATCTTAAGTTTGAACCTGCCTGTTTGTTCAACAAGAATAGATAGCAGTCCATGTGATTGTAGATACACAACCATGGACATGCAGAAGCTAGTATGTGCTCACAAGTTCACATTACAACAGTTTACCCCCTCCCCATAGCACCCATCTCTTGGTACACCATGTGATGGATCAGGCCCCTGAATGAGTTTTCACCATGGGTGACCGGGTGTCCCGGATAATAATCGACAATTCCTCAAGCTAGATGGCAGAGTGCTCTCCTGCACGCTGCACAGAACTATGCTTCGCCACAGCTTTATTAGCTGCAATGGGACAGAGAGCTCAGGTGAGTCCAGATTTGTTCTGAAGGTCACACAGCACATATGAAAAATATTTTTTTACTTTCATGCCCACTTTGTAAGTTGGGGAGGCTTTTTGTTACAAGATTAATTTATGCTTTGAGATGATGCCGAAGAGGTTTACATGCTCTAATAACTCAAGGTTAGGTAATGAAGTGTGTGCATGACTGTGTGTGTGTGGTAAAGTTTGTTGTGCTGGTTGGTGTGCTGTAATTGCCCGCAGGAGGTTCAGCTTATCTCAGTTTGATTCTTTCTTCAAAAGCAGAAATAAATGAAAGTGAAATTTAATTACATCCCTGTTTATTGCATGGACGTTGCTTTTCTTCATTCTGGAATGCTGTTGGTTTTATCCTTTCCCATTCCACTTGTGTTTCAGCTAAATGGACACTGTTAAGATCTTTTAATTATAATTAACTATAACCGTTAGGAGCTTGCAGAGGAGACCATGGGACATGTTTTCATTTTGTCCATTACCATGAAGGCAATCCTTCTGTCTTTTGTTTGTTTGTTCGTTTGATTTATTTATATAAAAAAAAAGAAATTCCACATTAAAGATTTTATCTCATTAATGTCTCCATTTTTTTTAACACTTTCAAATGTTGGCAAATTAAACATTTTCTTCTTGTTCCTGATATACTGTAGAGTTCAAAGTAAGGTGAGCAGGAAGCTGTGTT